ACACACACACACACACACACACACACACAGACACACACACATACACACATACACACACACACCATAATTAAAAAGTAAAATAAGTCAGTGTTGTAGCACATTCCTTTAATCCTAGCACTTGGGAGGCAGAGACAGGCCTTGAACTTTGTAAGTTCAAGACCAGCCTGGTCTATATAGTAAAATTTTGTCTTAAAAAAGAAGAAGGAGAAGGGGAAGGGGAAGGGGAAGGGGAAGGGGAAGGGGAAGGGGAAGAGGAAGGGAAAGAGGAAGAGGAGGAGAAAGAGGAGAAGGAAGAGGAGGAGAAGGAGGAGGAGGAAGAGGAGGAGGAGGAGGAGGAGGAGGAAGAGGAAAGGGAATCTTTTTCTTCATAATCACAGATGAATGACCTTGTTACTAGACAGCTGGCTGTGTCCTTACGCTATATCTACCTGGATAGAAATCATGGGGAGGTTGGGAGATGAAGTAATGCTCTTCTTCTCTGGACAGTCAAAGCCTTGATTGGCCAAGGCCTAGAGTCTGGACTGAAAGACCCAGAAGCATAAGCCATCAAGCAAAGAGTGCTTTCCTGTTTTAAATGCTTAAGTTGGAGTCTTATTCCTCTGGGTTTTAGTTACTAGTGGCCTCGAAAGATGTCCTTGGCTTCCAGCAGCTGTGATTGGCAGCACTGGATGGTACCTCACAGTCATCAAGCTCTTGGACAGACCTCAGGTTCAGGGATCCTCAGTCTTACTGCGCTGAGCATCTAGACAACCAGTGTTTACATGGCTCATTTCTACAGCGTCGGCACCTGCAGCCCAACGTTGACAGAAGCTATGGCGTTAGAATGCTCAGGCTTCATGTGCCTGGGACCTTTGATGTTTATGGTGCATCTCCCTAGAACTGGGGCCCTCTATGCTGCCATCTTTCATTGTCTCCATTGTGCTACCGTACTCCACCCCCACCCCTGTACCCAATTCTGCCCTGGCCATTCTCTTAACTCTTTAGTTCAGGGGTCTATCAGGATGGTATTTCCCGGCTGACTGGAAAAGAAAGTCCGTCTGCTTATATAGCCAGAAAGGGGGTTGTCAACCATGTTTGCGGCAAGCACAGTGAGTCTCCATGCCAGTGAAGGATTTTGTTTGCACTGATCACAGCATAATTTCAGTGCAAATAAAAGGCCATGTTTGTTCTGTCACGGACCTTATTATGGGCACTAGGGACATTACCCCCTTTTGGCCTAGTTGAAAATAGCTGTTGAACTAGTGGGCAAGGATGTCCAACCCACAGGCTGAATGAGGCCCAGGATAGCTACGAAGGCAGCCTGACATAAAGTTGTAAGATTCATTTGGTGCTGGATTGCATGGTTCTCTAGCACGAACACTAGAGAGAACCGTATGACCCAGAGAAGCCGAAGGCTGGATATCTATGCCTGTGATGGAGAGTGGGAAAGAGTAGAAAAGTCTGTATGAGCATTTTGTGAACGCCGTGACTACAGGGTAGCTTCTTCAAGGTGTCCGTGGAGTGTTCCAGGCCACCATATTGACATGAAGGTGGACGGTGATGCCTTTGCTGGCCTTCAGAGTAGCTTCAGCACCAGGGAAAATCTAACAGGTCTCAGTTAGTGGGCTGAACTCTACGGAGTCCAGCATCTTAGCCTACTAACAGGAAGAACAAAGAATAAATGGTCCGATTAGGAGGTCAAATGGGCATGCCTATAATTTCAGAACCGGAAATGCGAAGATGGGACAATTGAGTATGTAGCACATAGCAAGATCATGCCACAAAACAAACAAACAAACAAACAAACAAACAAACAGCAGGGCCTGCAGTGCTGGCTCAGCAGTTAAGAGGACTCACTGCTCTTTTATGGATAAGAGTTCAGTCCCCAGCACCCACGATGGTACTTACAACCAACCACCAGTAGTAACTCCAGCTCCAGGGCACTGGCCTCCCTCAGTGACCTCGCTGCTGGTCTGCACTGCACTGTGCTCACACTTTGATGTGCACACGTAGGCTCAGCTCCACATACACACACAAAATAAAAAGAATATAGAAGACATAAAAATAAAAACTAATCTTTTTTTTTTTTAAAGTCAAGGGGGAACAGGAACAAAGCGAAATGGCCGATGAGTCTTGAGTGATGTCACAGGACTTCACAGTGTGGTAGCCATGCTTGCCTGCCCAGGGAGGACTGAGATCCTCCAGTTTGTCTCACAATCTCTGGGGATGTAGGCATCTTGTTTACCCATCGCCCAATTCATACTTTAAAAGAGGCTGGCCAGGTAATAATGCACAGTATATATAACGTATGAGAACATGGTTTTCTTCTCTAGCGCGTCTGTTTTCTAGACCAGATACTGAGTCCGAGTGGGTAGCCACCCATGAGTTTGTGACACCCCCTGCCCTGTTACCCAGTGTTTGTTCATTCATAAGCCATTCTCCATCACAGCACAGACAAAAGTAGCTGACTTACATTGGCTTTCCAAGATAAGTTTCTCTTCCCAAGCAACAGGAATGGACTTTGCAAAACATCTAGAAGGATAATATGGGATTGTTAGTTTTTTTTTTTTTCAAGAGGCATGAAAAAAAAGTCCTATTAGAATATCAGTGAAGGAAGGAGAGGGGTAGTTTGGGCCAGCTGAGTGAGTAAATGTTCTACTGACTACAAACCAGCACACTGATTTCTTGCTATTGGCTATGAGCATTGTGGGGACTGTAATGGGAGTCATGCTTGATGACCCTGGAGGACTCCGTGAGGCTCTATTCCACCTGCCTCACCTCATTGGGTTCAGTGGTTCACTGTAGTTACACGGGACATTGTGTGGTTGGTCCTGTGTAGACTTGGTGGCCTGTACTGACCGTGTAGACACTTTGATATTACGTTAGGTGGCCTAGAGATGGTTTACGTAGATAGGACACGTGTAGGTTATATGCAAGCACTGTACATTTTATGTAAGGTAGTTGAGCATCCCTGGATTTGGGGATCTATCCCCACGGATGCTTAGGGAATGCCAGTATGAGCTCAAGGTGTTTCGTGTGATGGCCTATTATCACCCAAGTGACTTTCTCGTGTCAAATAAAGTAGTGGGTTAAAGAACATGAAAAGAGGAAAGGAAAGAAAGCAGGTAAAACAGGAAGATTCGTCAACAGTACAGTGCGTAAAGCTCTCACTGTTGTCCCTGCACAGAGCAGGTGCATCCAGAGATCCCTGCAGAAAACTCAAGCTTTAGGTAGAGAACGAAACTTCCGGCTTTCTTAGAATTTAAACACCCGTGTGTTTTTATTGGGACATCCTCACAGCCTGTCTTGTCTGGATGGGTGGACTCCGTCATAGGTTCAGACTGGCCTGATAAGAGCTACAGATACCAGTTAGGCCAGACAAAAAGCTAGATGACAGAAGTGGAATCCACACTGTGCCTGAGGTAGACATAGGCTTACAGGCTAATTTCCTTCTGGCTAATTCGTGGGATTCCAGGGAAACAATGTCTCAGCTTCAACCTGAGTAGAATGTCTTGATTTTCCTTTGCTTGCATTCAGAAGTGTGGAACTGCTTACCTGTCTTGAGTCCATGGACCTTTTCCACCTCTGAGCTCTGGGTGTTTCAAGGGGCCTTCAGAGTTCTATGGAGACTGTTCAACCTAGTGCTGGAGAAAATTCAATGAATTTTAAGTAAATTAATTAACTCCTCTCCCCTTTTAGAGACATAGTCTTACGATGTAGTCCTGACCACTCTGGAATTGATGTAGACCTGGCTGGTCTCAACTTTGTGCCGGTTGGTCCTCTTGCCTCTTGTCTCTCTGTACTTGGGCACATGGAGGGTACACCACCACACCTAAGCTTGGTCTTTGGATCCCTATGACTCTGACTGCTGTGAAAGAATAGGGAGGGCGCCCAATTTGTCAACAGTTATTTTGTATTTTTGGATTAATATTATAAGAGTATCATCAAGAACTACCCTAGGATTGCCTACTCTAGAAATCAAAATCCAGGTCCTGAATTCCACATGGAAGGGAACTTTTTACAAAGCATGTCAACCTCATGTTTTCTTACTTTGGAACCTTTGCTCTTCGGCATTTCCTTCGAGTATGATTTCAATCATTTCTGAATTGTTAACTTGCAAAAATGAACGTTGCGGAGCTGGCATTGAGGCTCAGTGGTAGAGTATTTTCTTAGCATAGACCAACCTATAGATTTGATTTTTATAGCACTGATAAAAAATTAACATTATAAAAAGTTTTATGTGGTTGATGTTGGGAGGAGGGCAGAACTTATTTTAAAAGTTCTTTTCAGTGTTGAAATAGGTACAACTTACTATCTAGAACCATGTTTTTAAAATCTGTATCTTCATGTATATTGGAATATATTTGCCTAACAATGGAAAATATGTATATATTTCAACACTAGCTTGGGAAAGTTTACATATAGGGTTGAAGATGTAACTTAATTGGATGGATAAGACTGGATACGTCCAGGGTGGTTTGGCCCTGCTGCAGCTCAGGTGGTCAGGTGCTTGCCTGTCATGCATGAAGCCTACAGTTTAGTCCCCAGCATCACAAAGTCAGCTCCGGTGGGACCTGCCTAGAATTGTAGCAAACAGGTGACAGAGACAGGAGGATCAGAAATTCAAGATCATCCTTTGCCATTCTTAAAATGTTCAAAGCCAGCCTAAGTTACATAAAATTCTGGCTCAAAGAAATAAGGTGGGAGCCAGGAAGAAAATTTATATGTCAGGCTGGTTTAAAAGAATTCAGCTATGTGCAGGATGGTTATAGTATTTCCGTATCTCCCTTACTGCCATTTCTTAAAGCCATTTAAAACGTCCCTCAATGCGTGTCTATAGAGAGGTTTATCACAGCAGGCAGCTAGCTATGTGTGACTTCCCAGACCCCATTACAAAGTTGCTGAATTTGTTTTTGTTTTTTTCTTTTCTTTTTCTCTTTCATTGTTTCCCTCTGATGTGGCCATTGTGTTGACAACCTTCTGTGTCTCCGCTATTGAATTTTTTTCTTTTCACCGTGAAGAAAGCCTCCCAAGGTAAGTGCTGGCATGGAACTGGGCATCAGCACTGAGTTAGTCCGCAGTTACCATCCCAACTCATCACAGGAACCTGTGGGTGATTCCTGGCCACCGAGGAACTAAGTCTAGCATTCTAATTTAAAATTGAAGCCTGAGTCAACAGTTCAGGTTGGCCCTGATGTAAGATCAGCATGTTACTTACCCTATGTAGGCAACGTTCACACCGGTTGTTACATTCTCAGAAGATGCTTGAGTCTGTAGACCTGCATGCCAGGGAGTAGCTCTGGCCTGCTGATCTCTGAAGGGAGTTTAGCAAGAAGAAAAAGAAACAGGTGCTGGTTCACATGCTAAGTAAGAGTGGTTGGCATAACTGTGCTGGCTTGTTATGTCAACACAACACAAGCTAGAGTCATTTGAGAAGAGGGACTCTCAACTGAGAAAATGGCCCCATCAGACAGGCATGTAGACAAGTCTATAGGACATTTTCTTAATTCATAATTGATACAGGAAGGCCCAGCCTATTATAGGTGGTACTACCTTTGAGTTGGTGGTCCAGAGTTCTATAAGAAAGCAGGCTGAGCAAGCCATGAGAGCAAACCAGGAAGCAGCACCCCTCCATGGCCTCTGTATCAGCTCATGCCCCCAGGCTCTCATGCCCTTCCTTCCCTGGATCATAGACTTCAAGATGTGAACTGAAAGAAATCCCTTTCTTTCCATGTCATGGTGTTTTAGAACAGCAACGACTAAGACAGTGGTCTTTCTAGAAAGCAGAAGAATAAAAGCAGGTCCTCAGGAATAAAATTTGGTAACTAGTTATAAACTATCTTTTGGTCTTGCCAAGAAGAGTTAATATCTTTGGAAAGGTTTTCCACATATTCAGATAGACCATCCATACTGATTCTGTGTGCTTGGTCAGAGCTCTTAGCTAATTATAATGACTGCTAGTTAGAGATGTCCCCGCTGCCTTGGTCAACTTTTGATGACATTTTTACTGATGGAAACCCCAAGTATAAATGGCATAGTCACGAGAAATTATCTGAGTGACCAGCCCAGAATAAATGAAAGTGAATTTATCATCGGGGAGCATTTTGCTCAGTATTAGAGGGACGTCTAGTGCCACAAGTCACTAGAAAAGTGACCAACCCTGGGTAATAACACTGATTACAGACATGCTATCTAAGATACAGTTAGGGCAAACTCCTCCTCCACGTGGTCAGAATCTAGGACACAGGAGAACATGGGAGAAGAGGTAAGCTTATTTCCCTTGGGGCTATGAAGAAAACTCTAACATAGCTCTTGGATTATGGAAAACCGATAAAATGTTATTTTATGCCTTATATTTATTGAAGGCATCATTCATATTATCTTTGACACTAAGAATTTGAACTCCAGCAAGGAAGGCATGCACTGAATGAATAATAGAAAGTGTCTCAAGAAAGAGGAAGTGGCTAATGTTTCTGAAGCCAGCCGGGCTGGTTGTTGTGGTCAGATCTGGAGGATCCTGACAGTTGTCCCTGAGTAGTTGCTGAGGTGATTATAACCCATAAAATCTACAGTCCTGAAGGTTTTCTGCTCCTAGAGGATATACAGCCCTTTAGCTATTTGTATCTTTTCTTTGCTCCCAGAAGTTTCAAAGCATAGACTCATCCTGGTCATAAGATAACTTTGTTTTCCACAGAGGAAGCCAGTGTGTCCCTGGGACCATTCCTCCTGTGGCCGCTCAGAGAAACGAACGCACTGAAGTTGACAAGGCACAGGACATTTTGAACAACCATTACTAGTTTTTACACAGAACATTCTAGCACATAGTGGTGTCACTAAAGAGCATTCCTAAGAATGGCCATGAAATTCTCAAAAGTGATGTTAAATCGTCAGGTTAAAAATATACTGTTATAATACTTCATAGCCAAAATAAATAAATAAATAAATAAATAAATAAATAAATAAATTACTTCATAGCCGATAATCCACTGTATGAGGTACATTTGGGAAAGCTAAAGATTGGCCTGAAACCAAGGAAGTGATGAAACAGAGTGAAATACATTAAAGACACAGAAGTAGACTTAGCGTACGACTGACTGTATTGAAAATAAGTGGGATAAAACAAAGGCACTGTTAATGCTTTGTGACAGGATGAGATTTGGGCATCAGTGGTCAGAGACCTCGGGGCAGACGGGGCGAGTCACCTTAACAGGTTATTAAGCAGGAGCGACTTTCTATGAGGCAGACTTCGTCTCCTCGGTGTTGTGATAGTGGTGAGCTGAGTGTGTGTGTGATATGAAGTCAGTTGTGCTGACCGTTGGAACTAAATATGTGGCATTCATAGGATGGGAAGATCCTGTTCTGACCTTGCAGTGAGAAGTGACATACGGGGGGGATCAGGGTCACCTCCTCTGTCAAGTTCAACTTGAAAAACTTAAAGCCCGTGCTTGGGATGCAGACTTAAGTTCAAACCCCAGGATCTACTCATGTGGTAGAAAGAGAAACGGGACTCCCAAAAATCTGACCTCTGACCCCCACAGGCACACCCTGTCATTCATGTACCCACTGAGATAGACAGTTGATAGATAGATAGATAGATAGATAGATAGATAGATAGATAGATAGATAGATACAAAGATACATAGATACATGGATGCATATATACATACATACATATATTCAGAGATACATAGATGCATGTATACATACATACATACATACATACATACATACATGTGATTACAGGTTTTTAAGCCTATGCTTGAAGGAGCTGGAGAGTCAGCACAGTTAGTGAGGGATAGATTACTAGACCAAGGCCCAGAGGACCCCGGAAATGTGGAGAGACAAATCTCATGTTTTGTGTGTACACTCAGGTACAAACAGCTTTGAGGCAGAATGAGGTTGTTGGCAGCTTAGTGTGGCAGGCCAAAGTAAAGGTGCTCATTCACATCCTGCGAGAGCTGAAGTCCTTGCTAAACGCCCCGTACTGTAGTCAGGGCAGTGGGCTAAGACCGGGCCTTGGGTGATGTGTAAAAGTAAAACAAAGGAGAGTCAGCTGTCAGATGGATCCTGTCAGGCCTAGAGTCATAGTGTTACAGTGTGGTGGCACTTTCCTGAAATCCCAATATTCAGGGGCTGGGGCAGGCCAACCTGGGCTACATAGTCATGACTCAATAGGGCAAAATGTAGCCTATAATGATAGAACTTAGGAGACAGGAACAGGAGAATCTCCATAAATTCAGAGTTACCCAGGTCTACATAGTCAGTCCGGACCAGCTGGAGCTACTTGGTGAGACCTGACCCTGTCTCAGAAACAAAGGAATTAACAAAAACCAGTAACTAAAATAAACAAATACACACACTTCCCAATCCAGGAATTAAGGACTGAGGTAATAATAAACCAATTTCAGGATTCAGGTGCCTGGAAGCCACCAGAAGAAACCAAAGTAACTCCATGTCTTTAAGGATTCCACAGCCATCTTTAAAAACAGCGTCTAACACTGAGGGTGTTTCTCAGTGGCAGAGCACTGATCTAGTATGCACAAGGTCCCAGATTCAATCCTTAGCAATATAAAACAGCAAAAACACAAAGTAAAACACATTTTCAGAGATAAAGAAGGTACACACAAGTAAGACTATAGACCCATAAACACTTCTGGTATCAAAGTGTTAAGGCCAAACTTTAAACACAACATGTATCTAAGGAGATTTAAAAAAAAAAGTCAAGCCGGGCGGTGGTGGCGCACGCCTTTACCCAGCACTTGGGAGGCAGAGGCAGGCGGATTTCTGAGTTTGAGAGTTTGAGGCTAGCCTGGTCTACAGAGTGAGTTCCAGGACAGCCAGGGCTACACAGAGAAACCCTGTCTCAAAAAACCAAAAAAAAAAAAAAAAAAAAGTCAGATTGTACAATGTTAGCAAGAAATGGATATTGCATAACTCAAAAAACCAATAACCCATTAAAAATTCTCAGTCTGAAAAGTCCAAAGCCTGAATTATAAGTTTAGTGTTAAGATTCTGTAGCAGATCAGATCAAGCTGTGAACATTGGCCAGTAGATAATATTAAAGGAAGTGGAAACAACTGAAGATCCACATTTTTTAAAGAGTAGACTCAGATCTTCTATTCTCCAGAAAAAATCAGTGTAAACTGAAATTCTGGGATGCTTTCAGAAGGTAACGGGAGGAGGTGGCATGGCTCTCTGACGGCCTTTCTCAGGCAAAGCTGAAATCGAGACATAAGAGAAAATGACACGGTGCGCTATTAAAATGTTCTCCTCTGCCAGTGATTGCGTTAAGCATAAAAAAAAAGCTGTATGCTGGGACAAATATTTAGAAAATACCCAATAAAGGATTTGTATCCAAATTATAGCAAAATCCCTCAAATCCAGAGAAAGAAAGAAAAAAAATTCAACTTAAAACTGGACAAAAAATATCTAAATAGACATTTCTTCAAAGAGGAGGCACAAGTGTCTGATAAGCAAATTAATAAGCAAATAAAGGCACCGTCATGTCACTAAAGAATCCACATTAAAACAGTGAGATACCACCACACATTGTATAGGATGTCTAAAGTCTCCAAATCTCACAAAATCAAAACGAAGGCTGAGCAACAGCAGGAGCTCGCTGGCCAAAGGAGGCAGACGGTGCAGGCATTCTGGAAGACAAGCCTCAGCTTCTGAAGAACCTAATTATATTCTTACCACATGACCCCAGTGATGGAGCCTCTAGGTATTTACCCAAGCCAACTGAAAGTTTGTATCTGCTGTGCACAAGTGTCTGTGGCAGTTTGATTCATGATGGCCAAACACTAAAGCCCTATGATTCCCAGCAGGAGAATGGATAAGGAATCCTGGGATAATCTCTTGATACAGTATCATTCAAGGATAAAGGGGAAATGAGTTACCCACCCCCACAAAAGGCACAGGGAACCTTCGGTGCATGTTAATAAGTAGAAAAAGCCAACCCGAGAAGGTTAGATGCTGTGCTCTAAGCCCTTTATTAATCCATGATATTCTGGAGTAGGTGAAAGTACATGCCA